AAAAAAAAAAAAAGAAATATATTTTTAGAATTCTAATTTTAAAGTGATTTGGAGTAGATTCTCAAAGCCAAAAAGGACCTGGGAGAATCTGGGTAGAAAAATAAATGAGTTAATTCAGTAGACAACTTTGGAGGAAAAGACATGAAAGAAGATCTTAGGAAAATTTTCATGAAATATAAAAGGATGCTTAAGATACTTAGATACTTAAAATTGCTTACATTATGTTATTTTGTTAGTGGAAATTATTTGTGTCATTTATAAAAACATAACTGCACATTTAAAAAACTAGGAAATCAAGATCCTTATCCATTTAAAAATCTTCCCTTTGAAAAGTTTTAGTGGATTTTGAGCCCATTTGTTAAAAATATTTTTTAAAGTAACATCTTCCAATTATTTTATATTTTTTCATTAAAGTATAATTGACACACAATGTTACATTAGTTTCAGGTGTACAACATGGTGATTCAAAAAGTCTGTACCTTCTGCTATGCTTACAAGTGTAGCCATCATCTGTCAGCATATAATGCCTTTATAATACCATTGACCATATTCCCTATGCTGTACCTTTTATTTACCCCCATGACTTATTCATTTCATAACTGAAAACCTGTATCTCCCACTCCCCTTCACTCATTTTGCCCATCTTCCCACCCCGCCCCCAATTATTTTATAAGAACAACTAACTAACATCATGAAAGATGGACATTACTAACCCCATTTCAAAAAGTCATTTGCGTATTTGGTGGATGAAATTGAAAAATGAATGCTATGTAAGTGATTTTTAAGTCTAGCTATTGTACTTCTTTCATTTCAGTGTATTTATTTTTTAAAACTACCTTTTACTTTTTAATTACTGTATCACAAAATATCAAACCAAGATTTTCTAAAATAATGCATATTCAATCATGTGCATAAAATATTGGTAAGAGAAATATTTTTGCACAATTACTAAAATAAAAGCTATTTTAAGTATTATGTTGTCTTTATCTCATCTTTTAAAATTTCTTGTGTGACATGCTGAATGTGTTTTAGCATAACATTCAGAATTTGCTTTAATGTCTGATAACATTCAAAAATTGCTTTACTGATACAGATGTATAATCAGAATTTTGGAGATCACTCTTACAGAGGAAGAGACATATAAGCAAGTAAATTTCAGTAAAATATGAAAAGTGCTATCTCAAAGGAATAACTGGTAATACACACAGGGAACAAATTGCCTGGAGGAGTCAGAGGAGACTTTAATAAGATGTCCTAATGCTGTGTCTCATTAAGTATAGATAGGAATTTCTTAGGTGGTTATATCAGATTCTTTAATAAACCAAAGAAAAATGTGACATTTCTCAAATGATTTTATATTGCTGAGGTCTGCCTAATTCAGTGATTCATGTTTCCATCAATAAATGTAAAGAAAAGAAAAAATCTATTGTAATAGATGAGTATGGGACTCTAAGTAGGTGTATAAAATGGTGGCTTGTCTAAACTTACTTCCTCTTAGCTCTGTTACTCTCCCATTTTCCTCTTTTTTGGGTTCTCTAGTCTTGGGCAAGAGAAAAATATTGCTAAAAATCTCTGAGTGATGGTTTACATTCTGGTCAATGTAAAGAAAATGTTACATATTCATAAATACATATAATACCTGTAAAACAGTTTTCTTAAGATGGTCACACCTCTTTCATAGCACTAATCATGATATATTGAGGTACCATATTAGTTTGTCCATACCTCTGAGCTTATTGACATCAAGGGCATTTGTCATGCATTTTTTTCATTCCCATATTTTCCTGGCACATACTAGGCATTGTTATGTTTTTTTTTAATTTAAATTCACCTAATTAACATATAGTGTATTACTAGTTTCACAGATAAAGTTCAGTGAGTCATCAGTCTTATATAATACCCAGTGGTCATTACATCACGTGCCCTCCGTAATGTCCACCCAGTTACCCCATCCCCCCACCCCCACCCCAGCAACCCTCAATTTGTTTCCTATGATTGAGAGTCTCTTATGGTTTATCTTCCTCTCTGATTTCATCCTGTCTTATTTTTCCCTCCCTTCCCCTATGATGCTCTGTTTTGTTTCTTATTCCACATATGCATAAGGTTATATGATAATTGTCTTTCTCTGACTGACTTACTTTGCTTAGCATAACACCCTCTAGTTCCATCCATGTCGTTGCAAATGGCAAGACTTCGGGGGTTTTTTAATGGCTGAATAATATTCCATTTTATATATATATATATATATTTATCCCACATCTTATTTATCCATTCATCTGTCGATGGATATCTGGGCTCTTTCCATAGCTTAGCTGTTGTGGACATTGCTGCTATAAACATTGGGGTGCAGGTGCCCCCTCGGATCACTACATTTGTATCTTTGGGGCACATACCCAATAGTGCAATTGCTCGGTCGTAGGGTAGCTCTATTTTCAACTTTTTGAGGAATCTCCATACTGTTTTAGGTATTGGTATGTTTCTTAAACTGAATGATTAAAAATGAGACTTCATGACAATTTATTTAAACCTAATTCACATCAAGTTTACTTTCAAAACTCTTTTGAAGATTATTGTGAAGGATGTGTAGGCTTACTACTAATAAAATACAATAAAATATAAATTGAAAATAGCCTGAAAAAGAGGAGGATGCAAAGATGCTAACTAGGAAGGTCATTGTATTTGTACTGTATTGTTGCATTAAAACCACCATAAGACTTAGTGACAACAATGATTTATTATTTCTCACAAATCTGTGGGTTTGCTGGGCTTAGCTGGGTGTATTTTCTTCTGGTTTTACTTTGTGTCATTCATGTGGCTGAAATAATTTGTCAACTGAGGCTGGAGAATCTAAGATGGCCTCATTCAGGTGTCTGGGGCTTTGGTGCTGTCTGTTCTGCTAAGCTTTCTCTCCAAATGTTCTCTCTCCATTCCGTTATTTAGACTGGACTTCCTCTCATGATAATAGAAGTTTACCAAGAGAGTGAATGTAGAAGATGTGAGACCTTTTGAGAACTTAGCTTCAGAACTCATACACCATGATTTTTGCCCTTGTCAGAGTTACAAGTCTGACCCAGATGCAGAATTGGTGAAAATAGACTCCACCTTTTGACAGGAGGATTTATAAAGAATATATGGCTATATTTAACCTACTACAGTAGAATATGCATAGTTGTTGAGTATAAAATTTGTTTCTGAGTTGGCTGAAAATGAGGGGAAAATAAGACATTAAGGTTATCAAAATAAAGAACAAATACCAGAAAATTCAATTTGTAAAATCCCTTTATTTTTTAATAATACCTGCAAATTTTAAAGAATGTGGAAAATGCAAATGAAAATAAAAAGGTTTTAAATTGAAATGTACTATAAATCTAATTATCCAGAAATAACTGTTATAAGTTGTAAAACATTTCATCTTTCTTTGCCTATGTTACAGATAGAAGAATGGGTGGATGCTTAACTGAGTGAAAGAAATAGCTATACAAAACCAAAATAGTACTATCAAGCTAATACAGAAGCATTTTATTTCATTTAAATAGAAAAAAGAAAAGTGAATGTCAGAGCATGTTATATGTTATATGCTAAACAGAGATCTCTCTAAAGTTTAAAAATAAGGAAAATTATTAAGTTACAATCATATTCTTTACTATCTTTTTAAGCCTTGGGTTTGGTCAAACTCTGCTATGAAAGATAAGGATATTAGCACTACTGTATAACCTATCTTCTTCATACCATCAAATGTCTGATGATTATATAATTATAAAAACAAAACCCTAGGGCGCCTGGGTGGCTCAGTCAGTTAAGTGGCTGCCTTTAGCTCGGGACATGATCCCAGGGTCCTGGGATTGAGCCCCACCTCAGGCTCCCTGCTCAGCAGGGAGTCTGCTTCTCCCTCTCCCTCTGCCTGCCTCTCTGCCTGCTTGTGCTCTCTGTCAAGTAAATAAATAAAATCTTAAAAAAAAAAAAAAAGCCCTAATTGAACCATATCTGGTCTTCAGACTGAACTTATTTCAGAAACCATTGCAGAGATGTAGAAAGAAAGATAAAGTTAGCCCAGACTGTATCAGATCTGGACAGACTTGAACAGAGAAAAATGGAGAAATAAAAAAAAGAGACAATTTATAATCTTTGTTGGAACGCTCTACTTTTCCCTCTGAGATTTTATTAAATATCCAATATTAGACTTTTTTATAAGCTCATAATTTATTGTATTTCCTGTGTTTCATTTATTTTTAAGAATTTGATACTTTCTTCCTCATTTTCTATACTGCATGACATAAATACCCCAAACTGCAGTGTGTTTTGATCAATGACAAACCGGTTGCATGAATTGCGCTTCAAAATTTTTTTCTTGATTGCTGAAATGAATCTGCATTTCCTCACTGTATATAAGGTATTTGGGTATGTGGATGTCTTGAGCGGCTGGTAAGTTCTTCTGCATGTGACAGTGTTATTGTTTTCTTTCAGGAAACCCTGATAGATTGGTGCGATGAAAAGGAACTTAACTTGATATTAACAACTGGAGGAACAGGGTTTGCACCACGAGATGTCACTCCAGAGGTGAGATAGTATGTGCCTTTCTCATATTCAAGAAGTAGGTTATTCATATTATTTTTAGTCTTTTTTACTATGTTTTATATTTATAATTTTGCTAGGCAGAACAAGAGACTTGTGGTTCTAAGAATGTAAAAACTTTGCTCTGGAAGAATTGCTATATAAAAAATGTTTTTGACTTCTTTCTTTGGACTTATACAAACATGATATAAAATGAGGAAGATTCAACTGGTCCAGAAGGTAATTTTGCTTTTGTTCAGTAGTCTGTGATAGAAGCTGAACTTCAGGCACATTGCCAAAGGAGGTGATAGCAGAACTCTCTTAGCATGGCATCTGGTCTGATGTACTTTGTTAATGAAATTCAAAATGTATCTGATTTCTCTGTTTTGAGATACCCTTGTCATTGGTCTTAAAGCACAGGAACTTGCGATAGAATATGTATACCAAATTTATAGCACTTTTGGAGAGGAAGGGTTACATAGTCCATAATTCTAATGTGAATTTAAATGAAGAATTTAATAAGCCAAAAAACAGAATTAATATCCAGGCTTTATGCCACAAGAATCACCTTAAATCTTTGCATAAGGAGAAAAATTAGGGAGAGAATGAAGAGTAGGCAGTGATCAGTGATATAGGAGAGTCTTTTTTTTTTTTTTTTTGAGGAAGCCATAATCCTCAGAGTCATATGCAAACTTATATTACCACTTGTGATATTGTTTCCTTTACCTCCCAAAAAAGTGTTTGCTGGCTGAATTTCAACTTAATGTTAAATATATCCTTCTATTTTCAAACCAATACATAATTGTATCTACTGTTTTATTAACACAAGACACTTCTGCTTTGCATCTATTAAATATTTACTGTCCATCTTACTCTATCATAGTAGTTCCCAAACTTTAGCCTGCACCACAGTCAAACTAAGGACTTGTTAAAACAGATTGTTGGATCCACCCACAGGGTTTCTGATTCAGTAAATCTGCAGTGGGTCCTAAGAATTTGTATTTCAAATAAGGCCCCACGTGATGCAGATGTTGCTGGCCCATAGACCATACTTTCAAACTTTGAAAACCACAGTTCTAGTATATGAAAATGGAATTTTTTTTAACCAATTGTAAAATATTTTCTGTTCTTCTGTGTAAAAATTGTGACAGAATTTTTTTGGATATTATTAAAATTGGACTTATAAATAAAGTAGTTTGTTTTTAAAGCAATCAAAATAGAGTTGTATTGGGAAAGTGTTAACTTCAGTTGCTTAAAAAAGAAGTTGTTCTTACATAATAAGCTTCTGGGTGTTAAGGGGAAACGGTCCTTTGGCCAACTTTTACATTTCTTTTAGACTGTGAGATTAACTTAAAAAGTACAATTGGAGGGAAGCCATCTCCTGTAGGGGTGTGTTTGTGTTCTGTTTGTAAGAAAATTGCTTACATATGTGAAGACATTGATTTTTGGAGTTTGGTCCTTGTGTTAAGTATTTGAAGTAAATGACCTTGGCTTTATATGTCCCTATTTTTTCTGTGATGATTTAATATTTTCATATTATTTCTTTTTATATCAGGAAATAAGTTACTATGGAATTCATTTATAACCAGATAACATTATTTTTAACTGGGGGAGAATAATTCCCACAGAGAGTTAAGTATTTTGTATTCTGTGGTGCATTAAGTTAGTACCAAAATGTTAGGTTGAAAATTTAAACCTTTGAATTTGGGCTCTGCTACTTATTAACAAGGTGACCACAGACTAATTATTGAATCCCTCTGTGCCTCAGTTTCCTATGAAATGAGGTAAACAAAAGTACCTATCTATAAGGGTAGCTGTGGGATTCAATGACAACTATTTCTGGCATTTTAGTAAGTGCTATATGCAAGGGTTAACTTAATAAGGGTTAAATTTTTTTTTATTAGTTGCTACATAAATACTAAGTGAACAAATTTGGTAGTATTTTTTTTTGTATGTAACTACCAAATGGACAAAAACAGTCTTATAGTAGATTTAAAATATATCCATGAAATCTTTACAATCTTGTTATTTTTTAAATTTTGATGTAAGTTTCATATTTTATCTTTTTTGGCTTAATGTAATTCAGAGGTCTTAAAATTCTACCATTCTAATATCTGTTTATCCTATCCACTTTTTTTAGTACCATTAGTTGATAAGAGTCTCTTTCCCTGACCATGTATGTTTCATTATATCAGAAATTAAGAAGCTTTTAATGAAGTCTTTCAGTTACCTTAAAACAGTAGAGGTGCTCTTAAATTCTTACATTTAAATATGCCTATAGCAACTACCTGGGTAGAGTTGTATTTGGGTGTTTTCTTTAAATGAGTTAAAAATATACATAAATAGGTCTTTTTTAATATCTTTTTTTGGAGAATGGGTGACTTACCGATTGTAAATATCTTGATTTTTAGTAGGTTTGCTTTACTTCATATCTTATATATAAATACGTAGGGTATGTTTATTTACAGCAAAAGTCCACAGGACTGTTAAGCCTTTGAAAAATAAGCAAACATAAAAGCAAAATAGGGCCAACCAAAAATAATTCTACTGATTTCCCATCTTCTCTACACATTTAAATACTTGTCATTCTTCTACTATCCAAAATATAACACTGGGATGTCTGCTAGGATTCCAGAAATATAATTTGGGTTCTATTATAATACAGTTGTTTGTCTTAGATAGTTGTGCCTAAAAAGAGAAGAAACTATTTCTAGACTACATTTAACTATACATAACTTAGAGTTGCAAAAATTTTTAAATAGTCGAGTTATAAAAAACACAAATATTAAATATTAAGGTAAAATAATAAAAGACTTCTCCGTTAAGGTAATAATATTTTACAGTAAATAATTGACAATAATTAGTGTAATCTACAAACACAAAGGACAGTTGTTTGTGGAATGTGTGTGTTGTTAGGAAAAAAATGGAGGAAACAATAAATAGAATAAATGAAATAAAGCAATCTAAACTTAGTGTCAGTAGGTATGAACTCTAGAGAAAAGGAAAAGTTTAATGAACTTGGGTTTCTTCCCAGGTCTATTAAAAAGAAAAATGGAGTAGCAAATTCAGTAAAGTATATCTTGTTTCTTTTTTTCTTTTTAATAGGAATAAGGCAATCAGAATCAATTTCCCTAAATTATGAAATTGTTTCTATTTTTGGGCCCTGTGTCTTAGAATATAGTTCATCTGATATTTGCATGCCTGCTGGCCTGCTCCCTGCCTCTAAATATGAAATACTATCAAAGCTTATATATAATAGCATAATAATCTACTCCCTTCAACTTTTTAGAGTTTTATTTTGATATAAAAAGCTTTAAATTTTAAGAATAGATGTTATACGCAAACGATGAATCATGGAACACTATATCAAAAACTAATGATGTGATGTATGGTGATTAACATAACATAATAAAAAAAAAAGAATAGATTTTATTTTCAGGGTTCCTGGCTGGTTCATTCAGAGTAGTGTTTGTTTGACTCGGGTCATGAATTTGAGCCCCACATTGGGCATAGAGATTACTTAAAATAAATAATTTTTTTAAAAAAGAGTAGATTTTATTTTCTCTGATCTGACAAAGGTGGAATAATCTGTTGGCATTGGTGCTAGTAATTATAAAATTCTATAGAACATAAGAATTCATTGCTATACAAAACATTATCTCTTCATTTCTCATTATCAGTTAAAAACAATATATGTCCAAAATAGGTATTGTTACATAAAGAATCTTATTATTCTTAAAAAGTAAAATTAGGGATTTGTAAGTGAGGTGAAGTGAAAACCCTTTAGACGTAAATTCTAGAAGAGACTAAAAGATCAAGAAGCATTAAAAAACGTATATATAGTTACAAAGAAATGTTTTATAATATGTTATGGTAAATTTGAAAATATTAAACTATTTGATATTTATAAGGTTAAAAATAAGCATTTTTAGATTATTAGGCTACATCAGAATAAAGGGTTGGATACTAATATCTTACTTTGATCATAAAGAGTTAAATAGAAGCCTAACATACATCTTAGTTCTCATCTATTTATTCATTCATCAAACTTTTTATTTTTAATCCTTAATATGTATCCCATGCATGCCGTGCTGGGTGCTGGAGTTAAAAAATTAATAAGACATGGTCCCTATTCTCAAGAAACTCTTAATTTGTTTTGGGAGTTGGCAAACAAGGCCTATAGTCCAAATCCAGCCTGTCTTTTTAGTTGGTGTTGGTGTGGCTTGTGAGCTAAGAATGGATTTTGTATTTTTTAAATGGCTGAAAAAAATCAAAAGGAGAATAATACTTTGTGGCACATAAAAATTATTTGAAGTTTAAATTTCAGTGTCCATAAATGAAGTTTTATTGGAACACAGCTACAGTCATTCATTTATGTACTGCCAGTGGCTACAACAGCAGAGTTAAATAGTTGTAACCAACACTTTTCCTTTTAAATGAATATCCCTTGTATCAAAATTTATAGTTTCCTAAAATTTTTGCTATTCCTCCTTTTGTTTGATTATTTTTATTCTGACAAATTATATCAGGACACTTTTGTTAGAAGATATTGCTAAGAACAACAGTTCAAAAGTTTTTTAAGAGTGAGATTTTACTTAATGCATAACAAAGCCATTAGTTTGATCAATTTTGAAAGTTAAAAATTTTAGAATGAGGGTCTTTTACTTTTGTTGTGCTGTACTGTCTATTGAGACAACATGGCAGTACACTTCATTATGGCAGAAAAGTGTTATTTCTTTGCTCCTTCTAAAATTAAGCATTTAAGAAATGAAACCCAACATCATTTCAGATTACTAAAGAAAAAAAGGTAAAAATCAGTTTTTAAAAAGTCAGTAAAAAATGTGAGTAAAGATGACATTCTCGTTCATCAGACCTGGAGTCGACAAACTTTTTCTGCAAAAGGTCAGATGGTAAATACTTTAGGCTTTGCAGGCTATAAAGTTTTGGTTGCAACTATTTAACTCTGCTGTTGTAGCCACAGGAGTAGGTTCATTATGGAAGTGAAG